AGTTGTCGCTATCATCACAGTCCCAAACGGGTGCTTTCATCACAACACATGTTCATAACCATTTTTACATTGTATATGCGATATATAGTTTCAGATAGATTCTCATTAATCGCATGGGAAAATAACATACATTTGCATATCAAATCGACACGCACTGTTAATGATGACGATTACTCGCAATGACTTCAGCTAGTATTCCTCCAACTTTCTTTCCATCAACAATAATATCATTCGGCCACTTCAACTGTGTTCGCTTACTCGCCGATTTCCGACTAAAACACATCACAGAATCATCCAGCGACCTATAAGGAGGTGAACTCATTTCGAATTTTCTAATTTTTTGGGTATAAAATTTTCCCCATTGTTATCAAACCCAGGGGGAAACGTTATTTCCCACCGTCACGCGCCACGAATTTCCTCCATTTCTCCACCACCTGATGAAACTGTCGATCGCATTGGCGACCGAAACTGCCATCACTTGGGTTAGCCCCGGCACTCGACGAACTTGGGCCTCATCCACGAAAAGGAGAATGCTCTGCATCGCACAACCTAATCATCAGAAAATACCAAAGTCAGAATAAAAAAATAATTCAACTTGAAATTAATACCCAAAATCACACAAATCTGCTGAAATTTCACATATATTCTTTCACTGAGGTAACTCACCAATTGGAGACTCCCAGCAATGCTTTCCTCTGCCTTTCCCAGCAGTTTGTACATTCGTAGACACACAGTACATGTCGTTCACATCGATCGTATCTAATCACTGTGAGAATGTACGTGCGCCTGCTCTCCTCAGCTGAGCTCAGAAAAGATTCCTTATCAATCGTAGTGAAATTCGAGCACAGAAACCAACAAGAATTTCCCGAAATTTTCACATATTGTCACCAACACATGTAGCTGACCATGTGCATATTCTCTCACACTTCCCTTACCGTTCCCCTTTAGCATCTCTTTGATCAACAACTGAGTTGAAGTAACCTCCTTATGATGCTCCTTATGCACTTTGCCCGGCCAAGTTGGTGAATCGGTCGCCATAGGTAAGAAGTTGATCTAATCTGGAGAATAATTTAATACCACACTTCCACCACATCTTCATAACACAACGCCTCGAAAGAGCCGTCTGAAACCTCCTGCTACAACACATATAAATCGGTCGTTTATGATCCGATGTGACAATGGTGACAAGAGAAAAACTTTATGCAACCAACACGACTGCAATTCTTTCCCACCATCCCCAACCCTAGACGAGTGTAACAGCCCTATAACTGTCCAGGGCTGTCGAAAGGCGTATAAATGTACGCCCTAGGCGTAAAGTTGAAGACGCCAGAAAAAAGCATACGCTGTATGGTAGCGAAAAAAGTACTTCCTACGCCCACGAAAGGTACTCTCTTTAGACCGGTCAGCTGACTACCTACATCGCGTATAGCTCAAGCGAGCCTCCAACCTACCTCGGGAACAACTAACGAGCCAGAGAATAAGTAACAAGAACAATCTCGGGCACTCATCCCCGCACCCGATACCAAACTGTCGATGAGAAACGCTTGTCGTTCTGCCGAGAGTAAAGGTGAAGAAAAA